AACTCACCAGTGACCTAACCGAGGTGTCGGCTTGTCCGGAGATGACCCGAGCGAGGCTGGCCACGCGCGCGCTGCGAGGTGAACAGCAGATCGTAAAGGCACAGCCACGTCAGTGGTGAGGAGGTGGCACTAGAGCTGCGACTAGTGTGCGCACGACGCAGAGGGGCTCAAGGCGGAGCTATTGGTGCAGCCAATTCGACGTGGGAGTAAGTGGGGAGGACTGACCATGGCGCAGGCGGTGAGGGGTCTTAACATCACGGTGGTGGGGCGAAGCTCTAAAATTGAGGCTCGGCTGAGCCATAATCAAAGTGGGTGGGGACGGCTGGAGAGGGGACATGAGGGTGGAGCGGTGGCGGCAGCAGAGAGGCGGACAGGGGAGAAGCGAGCGGACAAGAGGTGGTGGGGACTCGGTCAGAGGCCCAGCATGTGCGTGCTTGGCGGGACGCGATTGGCACGACCGGGGCGGCCCACAGCCAAGCACTAGCCGATGGCCACGCGCTCGCTGCCGACGTGGCCCGCGCGCCGTAGCGCCATAAATGGCAAGGCGACGGCGACACGGCCTCATGCACGTAGCGTCAAGGCGGGCCAGCGGCGCAGCACAGCGTGGCGATACGATGATAGCGGCAGCGGCGACGACACGACGTGGGCGCGAAGGCAGCAGCAGCATCAGCGGCAGCTGCGGTGGTAGGGGCGGTCGGGTGCAGAGCGGACCGGCGGCAGTAGCATCAGCAAGGCCATGGCGGCCACGGCCAGCCGGTGCGCGGCCACGCGCGTGCGCACGGCACAACCACGCGACGACGCGGGTCGGCCACGCGTGGTGACCACGCGCACAGCAACAGACAGCACAAAGTTGTGACATGCCCAAATTTTAAAGCGCTGATCACGATCAAACCGTTGCTCCTAAACCTAAACCGGCTTCACTACACTCAAGATGGCATATGAAACTACTAAATCGAATCATGGCACTACACCACTGCTGAACCCAATCTCTCCAAATAAATTGCTAAACATAGCAGCGTCTAGCTGTCCATAAGCTTAGAAATTTTCTAAGCGTTTGAGCTAATATTAATTTCATATTGCATTTCTAAGCTACTGAAAATATTACTTAGCAATATTCTTTTTCAATACCAAGTATTTCATTGTCATCTACAAAGTTTCCACTTTCAACTTTATTTAAGTATCACACACATATTCTATAATATTTTTGCTTAATAAAAAATTAGTTTTAAACCCTACTTGATATGCATAAACTATCGAATCAACTTTCGTTTAGCATTTTTATTGATCATTTTAAGTTACAAGAAATTTATCTACACATTCTATCATATGCATTAATACATGGACATGATGCTCATGATATGTTTTAGTAAATGATTTAGGATGTAACACCGAGGGTGTTACACATCTCCTCCATCTCCACCCGCAGCTGCCCCGGCCTCTGCTCTGGTGGTGGAGTGTGTCCCTTGTCGATCCCGCATAGCAAGCCCAACGGTGTGAAGTTCAAGGAAGGAGCGAGGCGGGCACGTGTGGGGCGTGACTATGCGCAACAAGGACTATGCACATTTTTCTGCGCGTGGGAGGTTATTTTTTCCAAGCGCCAAAAGATTGGGAGAGAATTGAGAGCTGTTGAAGATGCACTTTTTTTAATCTTGCCAAAAATTAAAGAATTGGGAGAGTTTTTTTTTTTGAAACTCTTGGATATGCTCTTAGCTACGACCCAATTCACTCTGCGGGCGCAGCATGTAGTTAACAACTTCTATCCCTAATAATAAAAAGGAGGAAGACGGTGAAGTTAAAAATAATTATTTTATTAGCTCCTACTAGTGTTTTCTGAGAAGAAAAATAAAAAAAAATTCGTTATTATCTGGTATAAAATGCACAGAGAAATCGAAGCCAGAGCTAGAGGAAGCGGTCTTGACGTTGGAGCAATGGCCATTGTTATTGTAATATATATAATATCTGATTGGATGGCGATCTGTGTATTTAACAGGTAGATTAACGCGTGAGATGAGTTAAGCTAATTAATGACGTACCCAGCAGGCAAGCGAGAGAATCTTCCAGCGCACCGCGTCCAACCCAGCCAACTGCCCCAGTACGAAATTATTTACTAACAAAAACTAAATTAAAAGCAGAATATATAATAATAATATACCCCACCAACAAACTCCATGACTTAATAAAAAAAATTCCATGACCAATTTCTTCCTTCCTCATTTATCAGTGATGGTTTATTTTTTTATTTACAAAGAAATACTCCGTATATATTAACTAACGAAGAAAAAGAGAGAAAGAAAGAAATACACCATCTGTATATAGTATATAATACTTAACCACTTCTTTTTTAAATATCAATATTTAACCACTTCTGGTGCAAAGACCAAAAAAAATCTATTCAATTTACTCTCAACACTACTACTACTACACGAGTCTAGAGAGAACACGTCGAAATAGATGGATAACCAAATAAAGTTGTATGCATGGTCGTGTTAGCTAGAAAATAAGAGTATACTTTTTATAACGCAATGTTTGCCATACCTACCACTACGATGCATGTTTGCTAACAAACGCACAGCTAACTACGAATCTTAGCTTCCTCAGCCCTACTAGCTCTTGAAAAAACATTGTTTTTCACAAAAGCTTAATTAGGCCTACTGTGATACTAACATGTCCACAAAGTCGCAGCGAATACACCATATATACGGCACCAACTAACTATCGGTTGAGATTGTATAAAAAAACATGTAGTTTATCAAACTTCATTTGACATTAAAAGCTATATATAGGCATCAGCAACCTTTGAGTTATTTACTTTCGAAACGTGCAACATATATGTGTAGATTTTTACTCAAAAGCATTTGCAAAATCTCATAAATTTCAAGGACTTTAAGCATATACTTCTTCCGTCCCAAAACAAATTAACTTTTGCTTGTCTGATTGGATATATATATATAGGTAGAAGTTGATTTATTTTGGGATTGAGGCTGTACTCTACAAAAAAACTAGTGGTCAAACATATACTAGCAATTCACTAAGAGACATAAGAGATACACAAGTGAGAATATTCGGTCACCGGAATCGTAAAAATCTCATAGAAAAATTTAACTACAAGTTTCCAAACTTTTTAAAATGATGAATATACATAGTGCGCATATATATATATACATTGCTGCAAAAGGTTGAGATATAAACTCAATATAGAAAAATCCATACGAAAATAACAAATTTCAGGTGTACGTGCACCAGAGGACAAAATTCTGTGATTTCGTTTTCTAGCGTATATGCGCATGAAATTTGTTAGTTTGGTTGGTATGAATTATTTTTACAAAACGAGAGTTTGCATCTCGACTTTTAGGATGACAATATACATCTATAGATGCATTATGGATGCGTATCTTTCATTTGTTTTAGGAAAGCATTTCCAAGAGTATTCTATTTTTTCTTCCTAAAACATGTAGTTTTACAACTCCCAAAAAGATATCGAGAGAAAAAAAGAAGAACATCTCCAACAGTTTCTAATAACTCACTACTAAAATATAGAAGACAATTTTACATTAGGAATCCTATACTATATCTAAATTATCTTAACCACTTCTATATATTCTTTATCTCTTGCACATTTGCATCAGGACCCTCTTTCTATTATTTATTCTTTTTCCTCACTTCCACCTTTAGATTGGCCTAAGTATACGGGCGCGGGAGAAGATACGCGCAACCTGGAGTCCGCACATCTTTACGCGCAAAGGAGTCTTTTTTTCCCAAGTGCTAAAAGATTGGGAGGTGAGTTTAGAAGTTGTTGGAGATGGATTTTTTTCATTCTTCCCAAAAATCATGGATCGAGAAGAATTAATAGTTATTCTTGGAGATGCTCTAAGTATGTTCTTTTTCCAAAAAGTTTGCCCTGAATATTCTCCCTCTATATAATTGATCTATATGCATATTCAGATTGCATGTAATGTTACTCATGTCAAATTTGCTCTAAACCTAAACCACTAATTGAAGCTGCCTTTTTTCTGAGCCTGGTTTTGGTTCAACAATCGTGATAGTGTGTGAGGTGTCAAGCTTTGTTGAATTGTTTATGACAACAAAAGCCACCAACTGCACTTTAGCCAGCCGGGATCCCAGGGGCAAAACCGGGATTCCGCCAAGCTGAGGTAGGCAGGTGGAACTTTCCTCTCCTCTCTCGCTGTGCCTCGGCCTCTCTTCTTCCATCGCGGCCGCCGTGTTCGCTGCCTGCGCCACATCATCGGCGACCTTGCCGCCGGCGACGGCACGCACCAAGCCAGGCGCCCCCCCTCGTCTTCCACGGAAGCCTTCTCGCGCCCTTCCGGGGGCGTCTCCCCGGTCATAGCCTCCTCTTTCTGCCTGGCTCCTCGTCACCGTCCACTGGTGCTGAGCCGGCGTGCGGGTGGAGATCCATTCGCCTTTGGGTTGACTTCTTCGTTTATCGGTAGGGAACCTCCTGATCGCCTTTGTTGTAGCTCTTCATTTTGTACCGGGTGACCATTTCGTTGCTTTGACTGTGGGCAGTAGAATCCGAATCTTTCCCACCATCTCCATTTTGTTACTCGCGGATTTGTTTGCTGCGTGGTGCCATGTGAATCTGAGCTGATTCGATTAGGCTGTTCCTATTCTTCAGCGCGCGAGATTAATCGAACTAAGATGCGGTAGCGGTTTAGTTTCTAGAATTTTGGGTTCGATTGATCCGTTGCTGTGTGATCTTACGGGCAGCTCATTTCTTTTTTCTTTCTTTTGGCGATGCGATCTTCTTGTTATTTTATTTTATTTTGACTTGTCAGCTTGAATCTTGCAGGTTGAAGCGGCTCGATTTGCTCACCAGAAATTCAGATTTTCGACTGATATTCCCTTAATATAGCAATGCACTAGGGTTTACTGTTCACTAGTAGGCTACTGGCTCTGCTATTAGGAAGCAGACAGCTGTTGTTTCCGAAGCTCTTTGAAGTTTGTGTTGGTTGGGTGTCGTTGCTATTCTTGGTGATAAAATGATAAAGCAATTCCTTGGACGGCTCCCCAAGAAGCCGTCCAAATCCGGAGATAAGGATCCTATTGGCCGGTCCAGCCCCTCGGTGTCGCACCCGCCATTGGGTCCGAGAGCTGGAGACAGGGCCGCCAACTTGAGTATCTATCCACCGGTTATCTCCAGCTCTGGGCTCAGTTATGGGAGTGGCATGCATGTTGGCAATGCAAATACGAGGGCACACGTGAATGGTGATTCAGCCACATCAGCATTTCTGTCGTTACCGAGCTTTAAGGATGTGCCCAACACAGAGAAACAGAGCTTGTTCATCAAGAAGCTGAACTTGTGCTGCATCCAATTTGACTTCACTGATCCAACAAAGAACATAAAGGAGAAGGAGATAAAGAGACAAACTTTGGTGGAGCTCGTTGACTATATTGCTTCGGCCACTGGGAAATTTTCTGAGGCAAGCATGCAAGAGATCACAAAAATGGTTTCTGCAAACCTATTCAGGACACTGAGTACTCCTCTCAGAGAGAACAAAGTGGACGTCTTTGATCTGGATGAGGAGGAGCCTGTCATGGACCCTTCATGGCCACACCTGCAGATTGTTTATGAGTTGTTCTTGAGATTCATTCAGTCTCAAGAGACTGATGCCAAGTTTGCTAAACGGTACATTGATCATTCGTTTGTTCTGAGGCTACTTGACCTCTTTGATTCAGAAGACCCTAGGGAGAGAGAGTACCTCAAGATGATACTTCACCGTGTCTATGGAAAGTTCATGGTTCATCGGCCCCATATTCGGAAAGCCATTAACAACATTTTCTATCAGTTTATCTATGAAACTGAAAAACACAATGGAATCGCAGAGATATTGGAGATTTTGGGAAGTATCATCAATGGGTTTGCATTGCCACTTAAGGAAGAGCATAAATTGTTCCTTGTTCGAGCTTTAATTCCACTTCACAAGCCAAAGTGCATTGCGATGTATCATCAGCAATTGTCTTACTGCATCACCCAGTTTGTCGAAAAGGATTGCAAACTTGCAGATACAGTTATCAGAGGCCTGTTAAAATATTGGCCCATCACTAATAGCTCCAAGGAGGTGTTGTTTCTGGGGGAGTTGGAAGAGATATTGGAAGCTACGCAACCTGCAGAGTTTCAGAAATGCATGGTCCCTCTCTTCCGCCAGATTGCACGGTGCCTGAATAGCTCACACTTTCAGGTAATGCTCACCAAAGTGTTGCTTCCTTCATGAAAGCATGATCCCTCTCTTCCTCCATTTGTGTTCGTCATATATCAATTCTTCTGTTATGTAATTTTCTTTGGTCCCTATCTTTTCGAAATTGATAGAAGGCATGGCCTGCACAATGATGATCTCTTCTTGTTTATTCTGTTTCTGTTCAACGCATGTTAGTGTAGATATACAATATGCGCGCTTTATTGTTCCTTAGGGGATTTGGATAAGACAGCCTTGTTTTAGAGCCCACAGGAGACCTAAAATAAGACAGCTTAGTTTTTTTAAGTGGAACACGATAGTTTTCTGCTCACCTACTTTTGTAGTTTTCTGTGCCCTATATGTTTTAATTTACTTTTGAGGCATTTTGTTCTTTTTTGTATTCTGAAAAGCAACTCACAGTTTGTTGCTAATAGTAATAATACTGCCTCAATTACTTACTGCTTAAAGGTCACCTTGTGCAGTTACTTTGAGTGGTTGAGTAGCTTTTGGCTGTTGGCGGTGACTCGATTGTAAACACAATGCCAATGACTTGGGATGCCAAGAGAATTCCAAATAGCTTATAAGGATTTCTCTGGAGCGTGTAGCTCTTTGGAAATGATTTTTGTTGGAGTGACAGTCAGTACTAAGTATGAATCCCTTGTTTTGATTTAGTTTTCCTAGTCATTTACGTGAAAATTTTATTGGAAAACAAAATTTCTGGTAGACATATCAAAGGAAAGTAAAACATAAATGTCTCCTTTTGTACAGCTCAGAGTAGGCGAGCACTAATTACCTGCTGACCATTAAAGTCATTTAGGACATCAATGAATCGCCACTGCTAAATTTGGATGCATAATATGGATCATTACTTGTTAAACAAAAATTGTTGAAGGATCATAGATTTTCCATCCCTTATGTCTCATCTATCTAATGTAGTTTCTTTCTTTCTCATTTCTTTAAATGCATTTCCGTTAATTGATTCCTACAACTAATTACACATATTGGAATGTACCTTGGAGCTATTTTTGCATTCTTATGTCCTTTACAAATAGACTGTAGAGTTCAGAGTACTGGGATGTCCTATCTTGTTGATTAATGAGCTCTGAGAGAGCAGCTATGAATTTACCGTCAAATGTATAGAGTTTCAGTTCTGTTACGGATCTTCCCTGAATTACATTTCTGAACAGTATTTATGACATGCCCTCGTTACAGTGGTTTATAAGAGGAAATGAAATGGTTTATTTGTTATCCTACATTATGAACAGTAATTATTTATCCACAATTGTCGTCTTTATCTGATCTATGCACAAAATGTTGTGGAGTTTGGGAACAAAATGTTGTGAGGGTGATTTTTCATCACATTGCAAATCCACAGTTGTGTTTTGGACCATGAGACCTCAGAAAACTGCTTATTTTGTTAAGGCCTATTGATATTGCAGATGCGGAACATATAATTAACTGATAGCATCTGTTCTTGTTCAGGTTGCTGAGCGGGCGTTATTTTTGTGGAACAACGACCATATCGAGAGTCTGATCAAACAAAATAGTAGGGTTATACTACCTATCATCTTTCCTGCACTGGAGAAAAATACCAGCAGGCACTGGAACCAAGCTGTGCAAAGCCTTACTCTAAATGTTCGAAAACTGTTCTCTGACCATGACCCTGGTCTATTCACTGAGTGTCTGGGGAAATATGAGGAAGAGAAAGTGAAAGAGGAGGAGGTTAAGTTGAAACAAGAAGCCACATGGAAGCGCCTTGAGGAGATTAAGTCAACGAAAGCGACAAGCGGTGCAGCAGTTCTCGCCTCTCGACCCAGACCCTTGTCCCGTCAATCTTCAGCCGTGTAGCAAAATCTCCATGTTTGGGCGAGTCTTTTCTAACAGATGAATCTCTCAAATTTCTAGGTGTTCATGAAACATTGTACAGGATTGAGTTGTATATACGAGGTATATTAAGGTGGGCAAATTGACAAATGATATGATCTGAGAAGCCAGTTGGGTTAGGCACAGTAGCGTCGTTCTCTTGATCCCGAGTCTTGGCTTCTTTCGGCTTATGCTAAGATCTGAGTTGATTGTTGTATCATTAAGCCTTGGCAGGAGTTGGCTATGATTTAATTGTTTTCACCTGCTGGTCCTGCAATCTTCCCATGCATGGGTATCTGTTTCTGGAGACAAAATTGGCGGTAGTTGGTGGATAGAACCCTAGTGAGTCTGAAAATGGGTCATGTTATTGTTTTATTGAGTCTGAAATTGTTGTGAATGGAAGTACAATTTTCTGTGAAGTACAATTCATATGAGCAAGTATAGCATCACTGCATGAACCATGCATACTTATCATTAGAAATCAAATCCTTTGGTTCATCATCATATATGGCTTCAATTATAAATGCCTGATAAATGGCAACGGTTCAAGATGAAGATGACATGAATTCGTCACGATTGAATTGCAGTTCTACTGATGATCCTAGCTAAAAGCACGCAACACTGATCATAGAACTATATGATGAGCTTCCTTATTGGAACGTGCATTCTCATTCTCCTGGGTGTCGACGGTGATCACGGCTTGCCCTGGGCTTTCATGGCCAGCAGATCCTTGAACGCCGGGCGGCAGTAGGCGTCGCGGAAGAACATGCCGGCGACGACCTTGTACATGGCCTCCGTCATGTGGACGCCGTCCCAGTTGACGTACTCTGCCGGGCGCGCGCAGGCGGTGGTGACCTGCGGCGAGCCGCAGGTGGCGAAGAGGTCGAAGTTGTAGGCGCCGCCGCCGGAGCCGCAGCACGTCCGGAAGGGCTCGGCGAAGCCGTACCGGGCGGGGCTCCGCATCACGGCGTGGTGCGCGGCGTAGTAGTCGGCGTAGGCGACGACGGCGCCCGGGTGCCGCCGCCGGAGCCCGCGGAGGCCCGCCAGGAGCCGACGGTTGTGCGCGTAGCTCTGCCGGTTCACGGAGGCGGCGCAGCCCACGGAGTCGCGGTCGTCGGCGCGCGCCAGCGTCATGGCCAGCGGCAGGCACCCCGTCAGCGGCAGCCCCTGCACGATCACGTACTTGGCGCCTCTCTGCAGCAGCCCCTGCCATTTTTTGCAAACCCAAGATATATATAGATACATAAAGCATTCATATTTGCAAACCCTGGATAAATATAGATACATAAAGCATTCATATTTTGTAGTATTTCATCTATGATATGATTTATTGCTGCTGCGGCTGATATGTAAAGCTGATTTATTGTGAGAAAAAAATACTGTTCCCACGACTGAAAAGTAGGGCTGATTTTGGCCGATAAGCTCCAGCTCATAGGGCCTATATATCCACAGGTCAATTCATGCGGTTGTTTTGCAGTGAGATTGAAATGCAGATCACACTCGTTCGTCATCAGAGTTGCTTTATTGGTGCATAGCAAGGGATGATACCGAGACAGAGTGGTGAATCCGTGGTGCCATGGCCGGCTACTGCTTCAGGATTCAGAGAAGCATGGATCTAGAATTCCAGAGGAGGTACTGCAGTGGCAGTCTGGCAGTGGTAGGAGGACGACGAAGAAGGGACAGCGCAGTAAATAGCAGGCATCAAATCGGGCTGGTGACACAGTACTGACGGTTGGATAGATGCAGAAACGTCAGAGCCTCATCAAATCGATTCACAGTACTACGTCAGTACCGTTACTGCAGTCTACTAGGGCCTTGGTTAGATACCCTCAAAATTCCAAATTTTTTTACTCTCTCTCCATCACATCAATTTTTAGCTATTTACATAGAGCATTAAATATAGATAAAAAAATAAATAATTGCACAGTTTAGTTGAAAATCACGAGATGAATCTTTTGAGCTTAGTTGGTCCACGATCGGACAATATTTACCAAATAAAACGAAAATGCTACTATTCATCAGGTTGAAATTTTTTTTAATCTAAACCGGGCCTAGTAGTACTGACGGTTGGATAGATGCATAAACCTCAGAGCATGCATCTTGGCCATGGCTCCATGTATGCCTTGGTATATACGGAGTACCTCCCACTCCACATAATCATCTACCTCCCACTCCACATAATCATCTACGGCAGTACTAATCAATCTAAATAGTTGACGAAAAGTTTTTCTAAAAAGTGTTACGGTACCATCGCATCGAATCTTGCGATACGTGCATGGAGCATTAAATGTAGACGGAAAAAAAACTAATTGCACAGTTTGATTGAAAATTGCGAGACGAACGTTTTGAGCCTAATTAGTCCATGATTGAACACTAATTGCCAAATAAAAACGAAAGTGCTACAGTAACTAAATTTCCAACTTTCACCCAACTAAACACGGGCTTAGTCTAGGTCTTATCTTTTTTTTTATTTTTTGGAATAATGTGCGGTTCTGGTTAAAAAAAAAAAGAAACTAGTTTGCTGAAAAGGGAAGTTCAGCTAATCAACGTACTCGGTCTCACTATTATGCTTAGCATCAGTGCAAGGACTAAGTAGCTGGATTAGCATGAAACCTACCTAAATTTGGCAATACTGTACTAAGGCCATGTTCGCTTGTCTTATGATCCGTACTTTTCAGCTTGTTTTTTCAGCCGAATCAGTATTTTTCTCTCACAACAAATCAGTCAGAACAGTGTTTCGGCTTGTTTTTTCAGCGAAGCGAACGGGCCCTAAAAGTGGTCAAGTGGCCTAGTGCAATACTGTACCAGAAGGAAGACAGGGCTGTGCTACAGACAGCAAGAGATCCTTCTCCTGTGTGTGCAAGGAGCCAAGCAAGAGATACTTTTTGTTGAAGTCTCTAAAGAATTTCGGCGCAATTTGGCCGATAATTTGTAAATTCTTAATACTGAAATTGAAAACCAGACCAACCAGTGGTTAGTTCCTCTCCGTAGTCTATTGAATATAGAAACAACACAACTAAAGTTTAGTAGCCTAAACTTTATAGTTGGACTAACAACTAACTAATCAAAGTGAGCATGCAGGCCCTAGGGCTTAGGCTCTTGCTGAGCTGAGAGCTTACTCCATGTTGCAAGTGGTGTTATGAAGAAGAGATGACAGACAGGCATGGTGATCCAAACAGGCCGCTAAGGCCCAGTGCTGAAATTGCCCATAAAACACATTCTAGAAGCATACTCCATGGAGTAAGGCACAGTGGATGTGGATCAGAGTAGTAGTAGCTAGGAAGAAATCAAAGCTGAGCAAGTGAGCAGAGTTAATGCACCGGCGACCGGCCGGCCTGTGCAATATACAACCAAAATCATCATCAAATGTTCTGACGCCACGGACAGCTAGCGCAAGATGGGGATCAGGCGTTAATGCCCATACCAACCGCATGCAAATCTCAACTACACACTCCATCTCTCCATCAACTACTGTTCTGGTATGTTAAGTTATTATTAGGGCATGCGATTATTAGCACTAATGGCGGCGGCCGAGATAGCTATAGCTAGCAAAGGTGTACGACGACGACGACGATGGCGACGTCGTACAGGACATTGCGTTCATACCTCGACGAAGGCGGTGACCCTCTGGACGGCCATGGTGCGGACGAGCTTTGGAGGGATGGTGTCGCGGGCGATGACGGTGTAGGCGTAGTCGTTGGCGCCGATCTCGCCCACCCAGAAGAGCGCGTCGGCGACCCTCTCGCCGGTCCCGGCGGAGAGGAGGTGCGCGTCGAACCAGTCCAGCTGCGTCATGATGGACTGCGGCGTGACGTCGATGCTGAGGTTGTTCCGCGCGAAGAAGTCGTGCTCGATGGCCGTGGCGCCGGCCACCGCGAAGTTGACGCCGACGGCGGTGGTGGAGGAGTTGGAGTTGGAGTTGGAGTTGGAGGAGAGGTAGGGCGGGAGGTAGGTCGGCAGTGCCAGAGTCTCGGCGAGGAAGTCGACGACGAGGCGGCCGTCGGAGTAGCGGTTGGTGGAGCGGTGGAAGAAGGTGGCGCCGTAGGGCGGGCTGGACACGTAGCCGAACGAGTAGGGCCCCGTCGTCGAGTGCGTGTTCCCCGTGTCCGTGAACGAGTCGCCGAACGCGTACACCCTCCGGAACGGCGACGGCGGTGTAGCAGCGGCTGCTGCAGGGGCCGCGCCCAAGGCCGGAGCTGCCGCCGTCGCCACGACGAGGACGACGGTGGCGGCGACTAGGAGGCCGAGGCGGTTAGCCGTCGTAGTGGTCGCCATGCCCACGCACCACGCTGCGGCGCGCGCTAGCAGCAAGCTTGTCACTCTGAGTAGCTACTAGCGTAGCGTGCACCCGCGGCGTGCGTTCGCGTGTGGTACCTTGTCTTTATAGCAGGTACTGCCTCAGTGCCGGAAAGAATATAACTATGCTTGCGCGCCACGTAGAATAGTTCACGGACAAGTTTATAGTAAATAGTATTTATATTTATAATTTTAAATTAAATTATTATAAAATACATTTTATAATTAATTTAATAATATTTATTTGATATTATAAATATTTATATTTTTTATTTATAATTGGTCAAAGTTATATGCGAATTGCATTCTTTTAGGGATGGAGTGAGTACTAGCAAGCTGGACGAACGAACTGTGAGAAAATGGAATGGTAACAAACTGCATGGCTGGCTGGTGAACATGGGCGGATACAGAGGGTATTCCCCGTATTCCCAGGAATACCCAACTATTTTAGCACACTTCTATGTATATATGTATATACTTGTATATGTATATGTATAATGCCATATTTTGTAGTATTTTTACTCATTGAAGTCCAAAACAGTAAAAAAAAAACCTCTCAAATTGGCTCATATTTTATAGTATTTTCACTCATTGCAGTTAAAAACAATTGATTTTTTTATTGACGTGGAAGTAGGAATACCCAAGTTTAGAATCCTGGCTCCGTCACTGCTGGTGAACCTGTCGACGTACGGCGAATAACACATACTAGCATATACGGTGTACTGTAGACTACTAGACTGTACGTACTCCAGCCCTGCACTACTCTTCATGGACCATGCATGCATGGCGCAGCAATGGCATGGAGGTATGGCATGGCACGACGTACGACGACGGCCGCATTGATTCCGTGCGCACAAAGTTAGGTGCAGTGGGTGCAGCGCCAATGCGCAGTCCACAAGCGCGCGCGTGCACCGCCATCTGCGCTCGCCGTGGCAATTCATTGAAGGGCCGGCGAGGACGACACGAGCACGATGAGGCGGCCGGCCGCCGGCTGGCAACGGGCAACCACCGCCTCGCTCATCCCGCGTTCAGTTCCGAGATGACCGGCGGCGTCCCATCCGGTCCCCTCCACTCCACAGTCGAGCGGCGCCCGTCCGTAGTTCGTTCACAAGAACAGGATCCCAACAGAACGCGGATGATCCGGAACACCGATTCTTTATTTCTTTATGAAATTTATTGATTCTTTGCGCAATTTATTATCGCTCATAAAATCGTTTTTTTTTTCATTTTAAACTACTCCTTGCGTCCAAAAGAATGCTAAGTCAAACAATCTTTACTTCAGCAAAATTATAGAAATGTACAAATACCTATGATATCAAGTAAGCATTATCCACTGCTATAGAAACAATTTCTAGAGACGCCTGCGTTTGAGCTTTCTTTATAGAGTCCTTCATTAGACGCCACTAACTCAGTCGCCTCTGGAGCCCTTAATTTGGGTTTCGATGATTGATGGACATAAACATATGTGAATAACTTTGTTTTGCATGGGTGATAGCAAAAGGCCACTTGGTATTTTGACCCCACTAACTCAGTCGCCTCTGGAGCCCTTAATTTGGGTTTCGATGATTGATGGACATAAACATATGTGAATAACTTTGTTTTGCATGGGTGATAGCAAAAGGCCACTTGGTATTTTGACCCCACTAACTCAGTCGCCTCTGGAGCCCTTAATTTGGGTTTTGATGATTGATGAACATAAAGATATGTGAATAACTTGTTTTGCATGGGTGATAGCAAAAGGCCACTTGGTATTTGGATCCCACTAACTCAGTCGCCTCTGGAGCTCTTAATTTGGGTTTCGATGATCGATGAACATAAAGATATGTGAATAACTTTGTTTTGCATGGGTGATAGCAAGAGGCCACTTGGTATTTTGACCCCGGTGATTCGATTCGACTATGGCAAAGGACAAAATAGTTTCTGACTACCACTTGGTGTTGGGAGCACTTATGCTTTAATGGTAGTTCTTCTTTTGTTTTTCTTTGACCGTACGATTGACGGGGTGGAGACAGATAACTTGATTAAAGTTGGAGTTAAGATGCATACATGAGAGTTACAATGAGCTAAGTTGATTAAGAATGGCTAGAATAGGTAGTGGATAAGTTCAGGAAAAGTTAAATTGGAAGATTCCCTATTTCAATGGAGTCACATAGTTTAAAGTGTACTCAATCGTTGATCAAGGCTACCGGATCATCTAGTGATATTATGCCATTCAGGAGAAGCCAGATATTTCAGCTCCTTCCCTCTCTCTTCGCTTGTCTCAGTAGAAATCCCGGAGCTTCTCCCTTAGAGCTAAGCCGTGTGAAGGCGTTTGGTAGAAAAGTGCTCTCAACAGCTCCTGGAGCTGGTTGAGAATCCATACCAAGGGGGCCTGAGTGTCGAGAGATGTCAATCACCGGAGGATACGGTGATGGGTTCAGTGTGGACTGTCGGATAATCCGATGACTCTATGTAGTGTAGGGGAATTTAAATCAGAGATGTTTGTTAGAGTGCACGGTATGATATGGTAGCACTAGCGCCTGGATTCGATAGATCATCCGGTGACATTGTCAGGTCCGACGAGGCAATACATGACTGGACTAGGGGGGCATTTATTTTGGGGCATTGTTCAATCAGCTCGGACACCTTTATCGACGGCCATGGTGCACATCAGGAGGGCACATGCCCTTGTGGCAGAACCGTCTAATCTAATGCCTCCCAGGAGTGCTTGTCTTACATTAGACACTAAGCACCCAAAGAAAAACACTAAATTACTTGGTTCCGTCGGGCACACCCCAGGGGAGAACCCGAAAATCTACATTTTTGCCATCAGGATCACAAATGAGAGAATAAAGCTTACATCATTGTTAACCATTTCTTACATCACTTTACATGTACATCAAAGTATAACATTTATTGTTATAACAACGAAATGAAATCATATTATCAGAGTTATGAATAATTTAATTGAACAACGGAATATAAACATGTGAACAGAGTTACAGCAGAAATAAACATCTATTAATAACATGATGAAGTATTGATATATAAACTACGACACAGATTATGAAACTTTTATTTATAAAAGTATTTTGTGAGAGTTATAAATAACAACTAAGATCACAACGTAAAGGAATCCTCGTTGAGCCCACCAGGAGGAATCCACACACAAGAGTCAGCTTTAGCATCCACCTGCCACCTGCAACAGGGAGAATAAAACCCTGAGTACTCGATTGTACTCAGCAAGACTTACCCGACAGGAGGAAAAAAAAAGACTCCAAGAATATGAAAGGCTATCTAGCTTGTGGGTTGCATTTGTAGGAAGCATTACTAAGCGTGCGTCCTTATATTCGATTTTTATTAATAGCCGCATTAGTTCATTAACTAACCATTCTATGTAAGCACCTGTGCTACTTTCAAGCAGGTGGTAAACAATCAGATTTCCTTTTTTCATCTTCCATCTTTCAGTTCTTATTACGATGCTAAACACGAGACAAGCCGTACCGGATTTTCCGGCGATTCATGAATCAATGCCCCTAGCTGGGTACCTTGAAAACACACGCCCCGCTTATACCCCAGGCACAAGCAGGACCAACCCATCACTCTCCTATCCCGGGTGTCCAGGTCTCCGTCCAAACTGGGACTCCAAGCCCCCGCCCCTGAGTCCCGGACTCAGAGCGGTGCAAGGACCTCCCCCACAAAAAATAAACCCTGACAGTCGATCCGGAAAGAGCCGGATCCACGACAAGAGAGCAACAAGTCTTCCAAGCGCCCATACACAAGTATGTGCTCGGGATAATAAGTCTGTGACTTGCCTAGAGCCTTATGCAATGACCGGTCCTTAACCGACCAGACAGGAAAAGCAGTGTAACAAGCTATGCCCCGCGTCCACGGCGACACAACCTCTTACACCCACCAATACCCGAACCATATCACTGCCCGGTCACCATTTTCCTTTACACCATTTATATTTTCCAAGTGATAATATTACAGTAATATATTTCATATCTCTCGCGAGTGACAGGCAATCACTCGACTTCTACCGGAGTCCTGTAACATAGCAATCTACACGATCATGTCATACTAGTAAGACTCATAGGATAAAGATATATATGCAAGTAGGTTTCATTCAACTCCTTAAAAACTTAATGCACAAATATAATTTAAACTACAGAAAGTAGGGGTTATGCACCGGGGCTTGTCTGGGTAAGATATATTAAAAAGTTAGTGTCTGCATCTTCAGATCATCCACCATCAACTGAATAGAAAGCCCATTGCATCATCTCCTGGAGAGAATACCATTACTCCATCTTCGGATTCCCAATCATCCTTCAATTGATCTGTTGATCCATCATCGTACCTATATGATATGCATTGATGCAAATGCATAGATGTAAATAACCAACGATAGCCGAAACGCTTAGAAATCCGATCGCGCCTCACAAGCTAACGAGATAGCTCTAACGTTGGTCTACGTATCCATGTTGTCGAATAAGCTATCATTTCCCAATAAATATTTTAGTTATATAAACCAAGGTGTTTCTTTATTCGCAATAGGACATTATTATTTATCTAGCAACTAATTATTCTAGAGCTACAAAAATTATGGTGAGCAGCTAATATTGCTAGGAACCTACTGTAAAGATTTCAGATCCAATACTATTACCAATTTATCACGAAAGTTCCTACAAGTTTATATTTTTCAATATTAAGTATCTTAGATTAATTATATAGCTCCCAAAAATATTATCAAACTATGTGAATAAAATCTACTAACATGTAGCTCATGATTTTTGGAGACTAACAAAACAGGTTTCACTATTTTATGATTTTTATTTGATTTATTACGGATTTACAAACTTCAGCCATCTCAAACAAATAATAAATCTAGCAGAAAAATAGAAACGCTTCACGGCCGCATTAGGCCCAGCCGGACAAGGCCGGCTAGCCCAACGCGGAACCCAAGCCGTGGCGGCCCAAGGCCAGCCCAGGCGGTGCAG